ACCTCGTATTTCTTGAAGCCCGGCACATTCGAGAATACATCCAATGTCGCAGTACCTTCACAAAAGTGATTGATTCCAGCCATATGCAGCACAACAAAGCTAAGTCAAGACATACCGACTACGAAGAAGGTTCAGTTCATCCAATAGGCAATGCACCTTGCCTTTTTTTTTTTTTCACAAGTTGATACAACTAGCATGTACAAGTTGTGTACCCAGGTGTAGCCACTACAGCTGAATGGGATATAATAAACATATCTTGCAAAACAACCCAATGTTACACTAGCATTGCATGGTACACACACACTGTACAAGAATTAGGCCTTTTTATTTTTTCAGTTCCGTGTCGCAATGCACGAAATCTCATGAAACTAATGAGAAACAAATGCTACCAAACAGTGCACTCTTTCTATATCTTTTTTTTTCTGCAGCAGGCATTAAACGTAAGTAAAATTCATTAGGCTGCATTTATGAAAGCTTCCCACACACTTGACAATGATTGATTGATTGATATGTGGGGTTTAACGTCCCAAAACCACTATATGATTATGAGAGACGCCGTAGTGGAGGGCTCCGGAAATTTAGACCACCTGGGGTTCTTTAACGTGCACCCAAATCTGAGCACACGGGCCTACAACATTTCCGCCTCCATCGGAAATGCAGCCGCCGCAGCAGGGATTCGAACCCGCGCCCTGCGGGTCATCAGCCGAGTACCTTAGCCACTAGACCACCGCGGCGGGGCACACACTTGACAAGAAGCAGCTTTGCAAGAGAAATCAACAGAGTCTATGGAATCCAGAAATTTCAGACCATAGGTGCCACTCGCACTGTACTCAGTTTACCTTTTTTTTTTAAGCCGAGCTCTACAGCATGAGAAAAGTAAGTATAAATGCAATAACATCAAGATTCACTATTACTTTTGTTGCCCACATATGTAAGCAATTGAAGAAGGCCAGTGAAATTGAAGAAAAGTATACATGCACGTATGCGTTTCTCCATTGTCACCACCACTCTTCAACACAGCTCGCACAATCACCAAGACGTAGCACATGGTTACAAAAAAACAAAAACTACGACACTGTGCTGTCCAATACAGCTACTTAGGAGAAAGCTATACAGGCTTCACTAACATTTCATCCTATAAAGAATTTTAGGCTTGGTGCCTGAAGTTGCGCGATGCAAACTGCAACTGATCTATTAAGAGCCGTAACTGGTGTAGATTTGAATACAAGAAGGGCGCGTCATTTTTGGTGCCCAAATCTATTTGCTTATTGTGATGTAGCTAGTGAAAACACAAACGGTGAGAAAGAAGCCTAAGCAGACCTCATACATGCGAGAGCATACACAGATCTTATTTATCGAATGTGCTAGAGATATTAGCAGAAGCGACAAACCCATAAATGACACACATCCCACCACATTTCACTCAGTTACGAATAAAGCAATAGAAGTCACAGTGTTTACAGAAGGTCCGCAGAGTACACTATAGGGAGCTTGCATGAACGGCAGCGACGCTATGGACTCTGGGTAGGCAGCCTTTTTTTTTTTTTTTTTTTTTTTTTTTGTCAGAGGCGGCCAGGGAGTGCAGCAGCGCAGTCGTGATCGAGTGCGATCGCGACGAAAATTTAACTCTAAGAGGGGTCGTGCACAATCTAAGCCTCACCGGAAGACGCTATGCCACAAAGACCTCGAGCCGTACGAAAAAGAGGCGAGCATTTGCTCCGAGTGGACCCATTGACGCTTCGTTTGGACGACTGTGTAGGCGTCGTGCACTGGTGACGGCGCGTCGACAGCTCCGATAATCGTGAATTTTTCGTTTCGAGGACGAGTTTGAAAACCCGGGAGCAGATGAAGCCCAGAAAGGCCCTCGAGGGTTACAAGTTTGAGTAGAGCAGTCGGGTGCGGGAGCCGTGGGTGAAGAAAGTCGCTGCCGACACCATGGTCGTCATCCCTCAAGTAAGACGTGTTAAATTGAGGAGCGCTCTTCTCGTGCATGTGCGTCGTACTCCACATAGAATAACAGCGCAGTGGGATGCGAGCAGGTTTCGCTGTTCCCAGCCATGCATGTGCAGTGCGCGGCAAGGACCTTGCCATCACTCTTGCCCATGAACAAGGCATCGACGAGGGGCTGTTAACACACAGGGAGTTTAACTTGAACAGAAACAAACATTAGCACCTACGCCGAAATCAATTTAACATCTCTTACTTGTGTGACGACAATCACGATATTGGCGGCGAATTTCTTCATTTACGACTCCCACAACCAGCCACTCGTCACAAAGTTGTGGCCCTTGATTGCCTTTCTCAACTTTAGCTCCCGGGTAATCAAACTCGTTTCTGGAACGAGAAATTCATCAATATCGGAGCTGTTGACGCGCGGCCACAAGTGCACGTCGTTTACACAGCCGCCCGCACGAAGCGTCAATGGGTCCACTCGGAACAAATTCTCGTTTCTTCGTACCGCTCAAGGTCTTTCTGGCAGTGTTGCAGTATAGTCTTCTGGTAAGGCTGACATCGTGCACGACCCCTCTTAGAGTTAAGTTTGCGTCGCGCTTGCACTCGATCATGCCTGCAAGCAATGCCAAATCTCGCAAACACAACTGCGCTGCCGCACTCCCCAACCACCTCTGACAAAAAAAAATGGCTGCCTACTCAGCATTCATAACGTCGCCGCCATTCATGCAAGCACCCTATATTCCAATGCCAGGATAAGAATTTGTCAACAATGCTCAACAACCATCCGATACTTGGTCGCTATGAATGACACAGATGAACTTATTTAACCGGCGTCTTTGCTCACAATACAAATATCACCGGGCAAACAAGTGCAGCATTGCTTCTCTTCAAAGCACCATTTTACCATTTTTTCACAACTCTACACTGCTTACTAGATCTCTGCAAGGAGGAACAACACTTACTGTGACCTACCAATTGTTACATGACAACAGCACGATTCATAAGAAACTGAAATTATATCCCCCAGCATGCATGGCAGGTAACAATACGCACTTGTTTACGTTTGCTTATTTAGTTCAGTGAAATATGCTTGACCAATCAAGGTGGCCCCAGTCACGTAACAGACTCAAGCAAGCAACCTCTCCATGCAACATGCAGCTGAACAGATACTCGGGTACACAAATTGTCTGACGCTTTTCACACACGCTGTGGGAGATAGCTTAATGAGTCAAGGTCATGCACAGCTGTTAAGTGCGAGCTTCGAGGAGGCGATCGCGGAAGGATCGCAGTTTACGCAACGAAGCTCGCACACGGGGGATGGGGGCACGTGTCAAGTTAACTTATACACGAGAAAAGACAGCGGCGAGCGTTACTTCTGTTCACGCGAAGGCGGGTTCCTATTCGCGCACCACAAAACAGCAATCGTGGAATGGCGATACTGCTGTCTACAAACATGGCAGCAAATCTAGCACGAGTGCTCGCGTCAGCAGACAACGAGCCAGTGACGGAAGCATATGCATACGCCGCACAGGCTTCTCTACCTAAGGCGCTCTACTCGCTTGTCATCGCTGAGCTAGGGTACTGTGAGCGCAATGTAGGGCGAAAGTTGTCCGACAGCGCGAGTGTGTTGAGCAGCAAGCTCGCGCTGTTTGACGGAAGAAGCGCCCTGGCCAACGGCTACTGTATGGTGCTACTTCTGTTGGTAACAACGCACACTAGCGAGCAGGCGCTACAACGCAAACCATACCACGGCGATGCATTCGAAGGACCGACACGAGTAGACGACAGGAACGCGAGATCGCACATGCGAATGCAGCACGCGACGTCATGCACGAGAGTCCCCTCGGCCAGCTCACCCTTGTCCGTTCACAGGCCTGCATACGTCCGAACGCGGCATAAAACAGCGCACAATACACGTTGCCCGAAGCTTTAGGCCTAGCTCACGTAGCCCCCTCCCCATCGCCCTTCCCCCACTCGTTCATGTTTGCTTGCGGAGTTGGCGAGAAATACAAAAAACGTCATGCTGTACACATTCGGCTGGACTCAATCGGGAAGACCGGCCTACAACACGCGGTTCCCAGCGGTGCTGCGCAACGAGATTGTGATGAGCCGCCAGACACAAACAGAACACACTGGCTACCGTTTGCGTCCGTTGGCAGCGGGGCATTCACTCTCGACGGGGGCACGGCACGGCGTCGCAACGTGACGCAAGGAGAAGGCGCAGCATAAAATAAACGCGCGCCCTGCTGCGTACGCTGCGGCGTTGACAAGTCTGATAGGCGTCCGCGCAACTATCATCGGCCAATAGTAGGAGCCCCAACCGCCACTCAATCGGCCAAAAACACTGATATTTCGGATCCGCGAAAGGGTACTGCACGGGACGCCACTTCCTCGGTCCTTAAACGCCGTACATACAAGTACTCTTACCGTGCCAGTTCATGAGGCGCGTTGCCGCAATCTGTCCGAGTAATTAGAAACAGAGCCACGATGTTCCATTGCCTGGACTGCCCAGACAAATGCCCGAAGGGGTGAAAAAGTCTTAAAATGGAAGGGTAGGGGGGTCGGCACACAATAGGCCTAGGCCCTCTGCTAACGGGCCCATTTAATTCTTCGTCTTATTTATTTACCGATGCAGGGAAGCACGTGCAACGCGATTCCGCACATCGCTAAATACTGCACGAGGCGGCACAGCGGAGTTGCGATTGTGGCCGGCGACAGTGCGGTTTGCGCGCTGGCACCGCCGTGACCGCAACCCTCGTGCTGGCCCGTACGCTACCGTAGCCAGACCCCCGACATGGAAGCGCAATTGCGGCAAAGGTGCATCGGCTCGCGACACAGGTTCACTACTGGCCAGCAGCGACGACCTGTCGGTCACCTGCCCCTACTTACCGCATCGAGGCAAAAGTGCCGAACGGTGACTGGTCGACACGGAGGGGACAGAAAAAGCCCCACTAAGCCTAACGATCGCAACAGCATTTTTTTTCTCATTTAAATGCACACAAGCGAGTCACAAGTACTGAAGAGCAAAAGAAAGAAAGCAGAATTACCTCGGATGCCTCCTCGTCGTCGCTTTCGGTTAAATTTGCCATAAAATTGGAATGCAGGGAACTCAAGCTCTGCCTCTGACCCGTCTCAAAATTTTCGCTAGTTCTTGTACGTCCTTTGCTAACCTCCTGTGGTTCCTCTCTCACGGCATCGCACGCACTTCCATGAACTACATTCTGCATTTTTTTTCTCACATCCAACGGGCTAAGTCCTACAACTTTCTGAAGATACGCTACTTTTATATTACAGCCTAGGTGTCCACGCAATTTACAGACAATAATGCAAACAATTCACATGCCAACAATGGCGGCCGTCAAAGTATTGAAGAATTTTCACTCCAAATCCCGGATGTAAATAGTTGCGTATCTAAATATTTGACAAAAAATATTTTCAACATAATAATATTTATCGGTAAATAAATAAATTGCTAAAGTTTATTTTGTGCACATTTATGAGTTCATATGGTTCCCTGAATGTTCTAAATTGAATACGAAACTGCTTTTTGTGATTTGTTTATCAGAGTTGTTTAGAAGTTTACCATGGTTTCTTGAGGTTTCCTACGCTAGTTCTTGAATTTATTGTGACGCATTTGTGCTGCAAACATACAACGGTGCTTTCGTTCTCGCAATGCTACTTTGGTGCACAGTTCGCGCATTAATGTGCTTTTCATAACCCGTTATATATGTTGCTGGATCAAATCAAAACTGCACGGGTACGTATGTTCACTTTACGCTTCGATCGGCGAGCACTGGATTGAGGCGTGCTTACCTCTGTTTTGTTTTAGTACGTCTCTGCTTAAGATGTACCGGCTCCAGCATGCCATTAATTAGACTTGGTTCAATGATTGGGTGGCACACAACTTTTATACCGAACTGGGTGCGTTGAAGCAGTGTTTGACCACGCAGAATACGATTAACCGTGGAAATGGAAGTTGCATTGTATTCGCTGCGTGCGAAAAAAAAGAAGAAAAAGAAAAGGAATGCAATAAAATATTGCACCCGCGTTTGTGTTAGATATATAAAAGGGTTATTCTTAAACTATTCGCTGCGAAAGTTAGGTAATGCAGCGTTGGGACAAATGTGATGAGAAACGCTTCAAGAGCGTCGTCTGCTTCCGTGTGAATAACTAAAAGGTTTGCTCTAGTTTCGAAGTATACGCAGGGTTTCACTTTTAGTAAAGTGTATTGAGTTTCATACTATGAAACTCTATGGTAAAGTGAAAGTTTACTTACTACTTAGTAAACAGGTAAACATTCGAGATAGTACTGCAGTTTGCTATAAAATGACCCCTCCCCCCCCAAATAAAAAACAAAAAAGTCATGGTGGCCGTGATGTACTGCAACTTTGACGTTGGCAGTTCACATAGTTTTCAAATATACATAAACTCTGTGGTAGTTCAGAAATCAATATTGACACAAAACGAGCTAATTTGCTTAAAACAACTTATGTAATGCATAAGTATTATGGTGATAAACAAAAACAATTGTTCATCGCCTAACGTACTATTTTTTCTACTTCCTGGTATGAATATTTACTCTTGAGATATGTAGCCTTTGTGATATGCAGCCATGAGGCTTTACAGTGTCACCTTGTGACATTAGGATCATTTTATTCTTACATACCCTTTGTGCATAAGAGCATAGTGGGAAGAGGCTATGATGTACTATCAGTACTGTGCTGCAATAGACAGGTGGAACTGCAGCCATAGGAGCAGCGTGTGTATAGCGGTGTTGTCTGCCGTAAAAGGCGCTATTACCACAGTGCCTGAACCCACTGAATGTGCCCGTTCCCTAGCACCAAAATGAAAGAAAAAGACAAAAGGTGACAATGGCATAGTTATCAATGCAGTTAAGGCGTATGTTAGCCAATACATATGCAAGGCGTTACAATGTACAAATTTAAGGGCTCGTTCAAGTCGACAAACATTTAAACGAGGGCGATGACATTACATTGTCAGAAGCATATGCACCATGATCAAAAAAGGCCAGTCACACGCTGACAGACTTATAAGTTGAGTTGACTTCCCCCGACTCGGACGAACCTGTGAGACTGAGTAATTATATTTTGGTGAGATTGAATCGGAGCGAGTTCACTTGAGAATTTTAGCGATGACTTTGAGTGAGCCCTATGAGCGAAGTATATTTCTGAAAGAACTCTCCAGTTTTTGATGACCATGCGAAGAACGTTCATAATCTGCCTCACTTGTAAAATATGAGGTTTTTTCTCACATTTAGCATATGTGGTGTACGTTAATACTGGCACTGCAACTTTAATGAATTGTTTATAAAGCAATATTTGAAATTATGGAATGCACATTTTTTTTTTATCAGCTGCAGACAATGAAGCTGTAGCTGCACTGTTGCAGTTGGAAAGCATTGAGGTGGGTCCAACTCCAATAGGTAAGCCATGACTGCTGTGTATTACACTTGTGCATTATGTCTGGCCTTGGTAGACAGGGTTCCTATAGCTGGTCTGCATTCTCTGTGAAGGCCCATTCATTGGACAAGAGCACAGTGAGGAAAAGAAAGCCAAGTTAGTCGGGAATCTTTTCTGAATGTTGTACTACTGGAGAAAACATTTTCAAGGCTAGGAGAGTAAAGGCAGGAAAACGTGGTAGATAGGCCAGGAACAAGTCCTATGTTTTTCTTCAGTTGCACAGCATGATATGCAGAACAATGCTAATTATAACTGTGGTTCTAGCAGAATTTTCAGCCACAAATTCATTGACACCATGTTGATGAGTGACATTGCATAAACACAATAATAATGTCCTGTGTTTAACATCCCAAAACCACAATATGATAATGTCATACGCCATTGTGTAGGGCTTCGGAAATTTGAACCATCTGGTGTTCTTTAACATGCACTAACATCGCACAGTACAGGAGATGTGGGCATTTCGCCTCCTTAGATACGTGAATACCGTGATAGGGATCGAACCTGCGACCTTCAAGTCAGCATTGCAAAAGCAAACCAATCCTGCTGAATGTACTATTTAGCTCGTTAAAATCTATGCTGCAAAAGCTCATAGCCAAGTGAAATGTATGCATTTACAGTGGCGCCGATCGTGGCATGTTTCGCAGTTATCAGGGGATGCTCTGGCTGTACCTGCTAGTGCTTATCATTGTCACTTTAAGACTTGCCTCATTTTGCCATGTCATGGTGTCGGCTTCTAAAATTATGACTGCCGTCGTGGCTTGACACCCAAACTTTGTGGCTTCGTGCTACAAACAGTGGTTCTCAATTTGCTTTTCTAGAAGTTTTCGAAAATTTCTCCATATTTTTTTTTATTAGAAGCAGATGGAGAGGCTGCTGCTCCATTGTTGCAGCTGAGCATTGCAGCACATTCAAGTGCTAAGCTATGCTTCTTATACATCACACAGCTAGTTTATCTGTAATCAATACACAGACTACATGTTGGGTTCACTTGGCCGCTCTGCATTCGAAACTGTGCAGGTTGAGGAAGATGAAAACCGCAGTTATTTCAGTTTAATTTGAGACTTCAGAACTCAGAATGATAGTTGTCAAGAATATGTTACATTCTTTCTTTGCTGGTTTAATGCATCAAGTTACTAGTAGCCTGCTTGTTGCCCTCATTTGCTACACCAGAACTCAGAATGATAGTTGTCAAGAATATGTTACATTCTTTCTTTGCTGGTTTAATGCATCAAGTTACTAGTAGCCTGCTTGTTGCCCTCATTTGCTACACCAGTTCAGCAAATGGTGGTTTGTAAAAAGAATTGTGTTTTGGGGCTGCACAAAACGTTTAATGTTCTTATCTAGAAATAATTGTTTCACTCCTGATTTGAAGTGAGCATTTTCAAAGCAAATCCTTGCAGGATATAGTGTTTAAGATTGCCTAGTATGTTACACTGGGCTGCCATGGCAAAAACTTTATGTGCATTTTGAGAGTCTGTGATGTGATGTTTATGCATTGTTGCTGCAGAAGGCTGAAGCAAGGAAACAATTGACCAAGTCACTTTTCATTTAATCATGAACCCGATGGAAAAATGAGGGCATCTTGGCTGACTACATAGTGTGGCTGAGGCTGTGCACTAACACGCAATCACAACCTTAAATATGCGTAATACTTGCTTTTTGATTGACAATGCTCACAAGTATGAATGCAGCCAGCTGATCAAGACGGCTGGGCATTGAGGAAGTAGTTAAACTTTCACAGAGTGGCTGAATCGTACGACAGACAGACCAATAGACAGACTGCAGACAAACCATAATTTCTGAATTAAAGAATGCCATGAAAGACTATCACCTTTAAAAAAACAGTGCAAAAAAAGTAAAGAAGAAAGAAATGTTACAAATGCTAAAGCACAACATTGTTACACAACATTAACCAGCGATATATCATGGACAGTTCTACAATTATAGGCAGATGAGGTAATGTTTATGACTTTTGGACCCGTGCTTACCGTAAATGCACATGAAACTGAACGCTTGTGAATGGGTCAAGATATACGAACAGGAGCATGAAATAACAAACAGTGCAGTTTGTTACTACAAATGTACCCATTGAACGGACATGAGAAAAATGATGCGATCATGTCGCAGTGACTTGAGTGTTAGATCATGTTTCATTCAAAAGAATGCGAGATTGTTCAATGTTGTTGCAAGTGGTGAATCCGGCTACTCTGACTCTGAAAGACTTATAATATATGTCGATAATCTCGATATCGTGACCAAAGGGCTCAAGCATATTTAACTTTGAAGTGAACATAACCGAGATGTGCCCATTTTTATAGACGTGAAGGAGTGGTACACAGGTTTCTTCGCAGACAGCTGAAACAGCTGCTGCATGCATTGTCCAGTATAAATTTCAAGAAAGCTAAATGTTTGTATAGTGAAGCAGTAGAAACTACGATACTAATAATTGAATAGTGAAACGCTGACTTAATCTGCCTCAGACAAGACAAAATTGCCTTCCATCTAATGCGTTAAAAGGACACTAAGGAAAAAAACAATTTTGCTCATATTAGTAAAGTACTCTTTCACGACCCTAAAAACACCACGCTTGCTGTGAGAAGATGCTTAGTAGACAAGAAAATGCACAAAAAGAAAATATGGGTGGTGATGCCACCGCGAAGCTTCTGCATTATTCGCCATGACATCGCATGTTTTGATGGCATCTACTGAGGCCTACGTAAATCTTAATCAATGAAAATAAAGAGCATTGTCCTCTGAAAGGGTCATAGATTTGACATCCCGTGTTTGAGAAAATTTTGTGGAGCTAATGGCATCAAACTACAATAAGTACACGTTGAAATGAGTGACATCACATGTGGAGATTTCAGCACGAAATCAAAAAATAAAATTTTGACCTTGATTTTTATTGCTAATAATAAATTGCCCTATGATGCTGAAATTGACAACATTAGCATTTTCAGAGTGCAACTTATCGATCTAAACCGATTCATTGTTTCCCTCTCTTCAAAAAGCATAGTCTGCTAAGCTACGTGCCACTTGTAGATTAGGTACACATTATTTTGAAGAGTAAAATGATTATCAAAAGATTTACTGTTGCAGTATATAATGTAGTTAAAAAATTGGTAAATGTATTACTATTAAAAAGAGCAGTGAACCTAGGACACTGCTTTGAACTACGAAATGTCACAAAGGCTATACAAAATGTTACTGACCACATGGAGACAAGAAGTTACAAACCGAGATATCATTACTAAATCTATAAAGAGGGAGTAACGTGCAGTGAGGCACAGTATTTCTTGCTTAGTGAAGTCAAATAAGTGAAGCCTACAACCAATGGAAAAATGAGTTTTGCGTTCAGCAATATGTGACTTTAGACTTAGGCCAAGAATTAAAAGCCTTAAGCATGATTTTCTAAACTGCAATATGCAAACTTAAAAAGTTCAAACTCTAGCTGTTCAATCGTAAGCATACAACCCACTTTGACTGTAACCAGTTACTGGTAACTTCTTACCAGTATTTGATATAGTAACTTGTTGCCACCTATATATAGTCGCATTTAAAGTAGAGGAACTTAGAAGTGGAACGCTGTTACTTTCTTACCATGCAAGTGCAACAGAATGTACCGTTATAGTGCCACTCAGAAAGCCATGTGACAGTGGGCCATCTCAAGTGTAAACATTTCATTGAGATGATGCAAACAGTGTTTGAGATGTTTGGTAGAACAGCAGTACTTTTTGCTGAAGTGCTAATAAGAGCAGTATTGCACAGCAAATCAATTCTGACGCGCCATGTACACCAACAAAAGCTGTACAATCAACAGGTCTTTAGTGGATCTCGAACTGTCTCTATGGCTTATACAAAGCCTATGGCGCAGCGTTCAATTTTAGGCACTTGTAATTTAGCCTAACAGATTGCTTGAAGGCTGAAAGAACAATAAGGTGTGTTGTAGTTTCTGTATTTCAGTACTTATCCTTCACCGGAAACTCTTAGAAACATAGCTTGTTACAATATATAATAGCTACTGATCACCCATTTCTCCCATTTCAGACAATGTCTTGGCGTGCGAAGTGCCTAGAGGACGTGTTGTCATCGCCACCAGGCTCACGTGGAGCACTACACCACATTGGAGTATTTCCTGGCGGCCTCCAGCAGCACCTTCAGGAAAAATGTGCGAAGAAGTGCCTTGAACACAATGCCCTGCTAGATAAAATGGCAAGTCTTGTACACAAAGATGCAGCTCCATGGGGGTATATCAAGATCATGGGCATTTCGGAAAAAGTTGCATATTATACTGGCCTACCCAATGAGGAGACATTCAAATGAGTTGTCTGCATCTTTGAAAATTCCAGCAGTTTTGTAGAAACCCTAAGTAACGAAGACCAAATGCTACTTTTTTTTTATGAGGCTGCACCATGACATCCAGCTCTGTTTCTTGGCATACCTCTTCAATATATCAAGAAATCTCACTTCCAAAATATTTGACTGCGTCCTCACAAGATTGGTGACTTGAGTTGAAGGAACTTGTTGTGTGGCCAGACGAAGAAGCATTTTAAGTGCAGACGGTTCCGTCGTGTCCATGTGATTATTGACAGCACGAAGATTCGTCTATAAAGAGCAAGTGCTTCAACAGCGCAAAGCAGTACGTGGTCATCATACAAGAACTCCAACACTGTGAAAGTGCAGGTGGAAATTACACCAAATGGACTAATCTCTATATTTCCGAGTGTTGTGGTGGCAAAGTCAGCAACAAGCAGCTGGTTCTCCTAACAGACTTCACGAAGAAGCCGGAATATGGTGACGAAGTGATGGCAGACAGGGGCTTTAATTTTACCAACCAGCTGGCAGTACTTTGGGTAAGACTGGTTGTATCTGCCTACACGAAGGGGAAGAACCAGCTCTCGCAAAGGGAAGTGACAGAGTCCCATGTCCTGTCATTGATTTCATAAAGACTTCGGCAACTCGGTCAAAGCCTCACAATCATAAGAACTGTTGGTGTCTTCATTTCTTGTGGCATACTTCGGATACACTGTAAACACAGCTGCATTCAGTAATATTGCCACAGAGACTAATTAAACTATCCGATATTATGAACAATCAGCGTCCACAGTCTTGTGCGCACTCCTGCTTGTGGCCGCAGGACTCATGCCTCTTGGTCACAGGCATGAGTCAGTGTGGGTTGGAGCTGCGAAGGAGAAAAAGGCGCGTTGGCGGATGAATAGTTTTTGTTTTGGAATGCTCTAGCGGACTCTTTTCAACCTTCAACCTCAACACACCCTCGTTCAAGCAGTCCCCATCAGAAAAACTGAAGCCAGTGAGCTGTGGAGGCAAGGCCGCTGATGTCCGACCAATTGAAGATCCTCCGTCAAGGTCCCAGTGCAGCAACGACGAGCAGAACACTACAACTAGGTTAGTTAAAGACAAAATTTCTTCAGACTTACGTGTTACCGTAGACGGGTGTGAATTCAATGTTTTAGTTGACACAGGTGCTGATTATTCGGTTGTTAGTTAGGCTGCCGCAAAGGATTTGAAAAAAGTTCTGATGCCTTGGAGTGGACCCCAAATACGCACGGCTGAGGGTCATCTCATTGCACCTCTGGGAAGATGTACCGCAAGAATCGGAATTCAAGGCGCTACTTGCGTTGTTGACTTTGTCGTACTTCCGGAATGCTCTAGAGATTCAATACTCGGAATGGATTTTCTGCTAGCAAACAGAGCTATAATCAACCTGCAGAATTCTAGTGTCGTCTTTTCGACGAAACTGGCCATAGACACAAATGAGCCAGAGTACACTGCATTACGTGTTATTACGATGCAGTATAGTAGTCAGTGTAAGAAATGAAGCATTCGTTGATTCTGAAGGTATAGCGGATCCAAACTTCAAACTACTGCTCAAGAAAGGCATTTGTGTAGCTCGAGGAATTATTCAATTACGTGGTGGATGTGCCGATGTATTGCCCACGAATTTCGGAAACGAAATTCAGCATGTTGCAAAGGACACTGCTATCGCCTTCCTGCACGGTTTTGAAACAGTGACGGACTTATGTGGTCTGGTGTCAGGGCTACCTGCCTCAGAACTTGCGCCCGATGTCGCGGCAAGAGTTGCAATCAGCCAAAATCTATCACCAGTTGAGAAGAAAATCATTCAAGACCTCATAAGAGACTTCGCCGGATGTTTCTCTACCTCGTCGAAAGTATGGCGGACCCAGGTTGTTAAACACCGAATAATAACAGATGAAGCTACAAGGCCGGTACACCAACATTCATACAGAGTATCACCAAAGGAACGAGAGATCATAAAGAGCCAAGTGAAAGAGATGCTGGAGGACGATGTCCTACAGCCATCCAATAGTCCGTGGGCGTCGCCTGTAGTCCTTGTGAGGGAAAAGGACCACATGCTGAGATTCTGCATTGATTACAGAAAGCTGAACAGCGTGACCAAGCAGGATGTCTACTCTTTGCCACGTATTGATGATACGTTGGATCGGCTACGACACGCAAGGTATTTCTCTTCATTGCATTTGAAAAGCGGTTATTGGCGAATTGAAGTGGACGAAAGGGACCGTGAAAAGACTGCTTTCGTAACCCCGAATGGTCTATATGTGTTTAAAGCACTCCCATTCGGCCTGTGTTGTGCGCCTGCAACATTCTAGCGCATGATGGACAGCCTCCTTTCAGGCCTCAAATGGCAGTCGTGCTTAGTCTACCTGGACGACGTGTTGGTGTTTTCAGCAATGTTTGAACAGCATGTAGAGCAACTACGTTCGGTACTTCAGGCTATTCAGTCAGCGGGCTTGACGATTAAACCGGAAAAATGCCAGTTTGGATTCGAGAAGCTTAGTGTCCTCGGTCATGTAATCAGCGCTCAAGGTGCTGGCCCGAATCCTGAGACTGTGGCCATGGGGCTGTTTCCCAAGCCAAAAGACAAGAAAGATGTACGCCGATTTGTGGGTTTATGTGCTTATTACAGGCGGTTTGTGAAAAATTTCCCGAAAATTGCCGAACTTTTAACAAGACTCACGAAAGAGGACGCGCCATTTATTTGGTGCACCGAACAAGACAGTGCTTTCAACGAGCTAAAGAAACGTTTGCAAGCCCCACCTATCCTGGCCCACTTCGACGAAACCGCGGATATGGAAGTTTATACAGATGCCAGCAATCTTGGCCTAGGTGCGGTCCTGGTGCAATGACAAAATAGAGAAGAGAAAGTGACAGCATATGCTAGCCGCACCCTCTCAAAAGCAGAAAGGAACTACTCTGCAACCAAAAAAGAGTGCTTGGCAGTCATATGGGCGATCAGCAAGTTCAGGTCATACCTCTACCGCAGGCCGTTCCGTGCCGTCAGCGATCACCACTCACTTTGTTGGCTGGCGAGCTTAAGAAACCCATCGGGACGGCTTGCGAGATGAAGTCTGAGGCTCCAAGAATATGACATTATGGTCGTATATAGGTCTGGCAGAAAGCATGATGCTGATTGCTTATCACGTTCACCAGTCGACTCGACTCTTTCAGAAGAAGACTTCCTACTCCTTTGTGTGATAAAAACCTCGGAAATCGCCGAGCAATAACGGGCTGACATGGAACTGCTCCCATTAATAAAGTATCTCAACGGGCACGACGAACAAGTTCCTCGCGTATTTAAGAGAGGGTTATCCTCATTCTGCCTGCGAGATAATGCACTTTACAAGAGGGATTTCGAACACAACAAGGAGAAGTTCTCACTCATTGTACCATCAGCCATGAGGCATGAAGTCTTAGAAGCTTGTCATAATGAACCGTCTGTGGATCACATGGGCACGAGTCAAACATTCGCCAAAAGTCATCAGAAATATTACTGGCCCAAGTTGCTAGCGTCGTGAAGCATTACGTCAAGACATGTCGCGAGTGTCAAAGGTGCAAAACACCACCCCTTAAGACGGCCGGCCTTCTGCAGCCTATGGAGCCTCCTGTGACTCCATTTCAACAGGTTGGAATGGACCTCCTCGAACGGTTTCCTATGTCAGCATCAGGAAAAAGGTGGATAATAGTTGCTACTGACTATTTGACACGATATGCTGAAACCGGCTGCCTTGAGCGAGGAACAGTAACTGAAGTCGCAAAGTTTTTCGTTCAGAATATTATTTTTTGCTATGGAGCCCCACTCGTCGTGATTACTGATCGAGGAGCAGCGTTCACGGCTGATTTGATGCAGTCTTTAATGACAATGACTAACACCAGTCATAGGAAGACCACTGCATACCATCCCCAAACCAACGGGTTGACAGAACGCCTAAGCCGCACCATTGCTGACATGCTGTCGATGTACGTTGACAATGAGCATAAATTGTGGGACGAAATCTTGCCATATGCAACCTGCGTCTACAATACGGCAGTGCAGGAGACCATCCGCATCACACCATTTTAGCTGGTCTACGGTTGCACTGTCACTACGACACTCGATGCCATGTTGCCAGTAGACAACAACAATTACGAGCCATCTGAAGTTGACGACTTTCTGCAAAGGGCTGAAGAGGCACGCCAGTTGGCACGACGCCGAATACACCAACAGCAAAACAAGGACGCAAGCTACTACAACCTGCGCCGCAGAAAAGTTCACTACAACCCAGGCGAGCAAGTGTAGATATGTACACCAATCTGACGCCGCGGCCTATCAGAAAAGCTCCTTTGTCGATACTTTGGCCCCTATAAGGTTCTCCGACGAATTAGTGACCTAAACTACGAAGTCATCGCCGATGGATACATCCGTTCAAAGCAGCAAAACAGCGCAGAAGCCGTACACATCATTTGTATGAAGACCTATTATGAGAGGCAATGAAAAAGCTCCTTTTTTGTTTGCCTCCCTTCATCGCGCATTGGGACGATGCGTATTTCGAAGGGGGACTAATGCCACAGAGACTAATTACACTATCCAATATTATGAAGAATCAGCGTCCACAGTCTTGTGCACACTCCTGCTTGTGGCCGCGGGACTCATGCCTCTTGTTCACGGGCACGAGTCAGTGTGGGTTGGAGCTGCGAAGAAGAAGGCGCGTTGGCGGATAAACAGTTTTTGTTTTGGAACGCTCTAGCGGACTCTTCCATCTTTTCGCACATAATTTTCAGGGCACAAGTTCGCCCATAATAAACTAGTTTTTGACTTTTCCTCTCTTGCACTCGTTACAATATATATATATATATATATATATATACTTTATGCAGGAGTGGCCTGGTCTTACTTTACTTTTGCCTGTGTGGCCTGTCATCTGTTACTTTCTTCCAACTTCCTGTAGTCTTATCTTCAGCTCGTTTTCCCCTCCCAAAAAAGTAGGCACTTGTCAGCCTACTGCCTGTTTTTTGTTTTTTTTCCCTGTGTACTGGGTGTTTAACAGTAAGCTTTAAAGTTTTCTTGAAAGCCACCACTTTAAGAACATGAAAACTGCCCTTGCAGGAAACTTGTGTGTCTAGGGGCACACAAAGTAAGACAATAATTGTTAACCACCCAATTGCAGTAAGATACAATAATGAAACTTACAGTGGCTGCAGCAAGCAAGCATGTTTCTATTGAAACAGTTACACTTGGAGGAATTCCACAGGTATGTCTGTGCTCAGAGATGTCCTACTGCAAAGTTTAATTGCAGTTTTCATGGTAACGCATGCAAGCTGGTGAGGATCCGCGCAAAGTTCATTCCTCATGCGACGAATAGTGATTGCTTACTTTCGCCAGTCGGTGGTAAAGTAATCATTGTCTTTGCTTGTGCCTTCGACCCGTTGTAACATGAAATGATGCATGAAACTTCATTCTGAGGAACAGCTTTGTGCCAGGGCTGTCTTGTGTGTGTAATCATGCAAAACCATTATGAAGTTTTGTAGCAGAATAACTCTTGAGCGCAGACATGCTAGAAATCATAGTAGAACTGTGTAGCAGCATGACTGCCTCCAACTTTTCAATATGAACATGCCTGCTTGCCGCAATCATTGAAAAGTTCATTGTTAAGCCTTAGTACCTGCCGGTACTGAATTTTAACAAAATCATAAAGCTTCATTTTGTACAACCAGTATATTTTCATACCAAGTAATAATAATGACAAATAGTAATATAAACACTGACTGTGCTA